CGCTCCATGTCAGCTGCTTCCTCCTCAGATTCAGACTCTTGACAGGGGCGTGACAATCCACAAGTCTTAAAGTTGCCAAGTTTGGGGATCCCTGTCTTAGACGTTATCACCTGAAGGGGCCTTGATGCTTAGCCTCCATTAAGCCCTGATGCAGGAAATAAAACGCAGGAAGAAGGTGCTTTTTTTTTATTTTTAAGGAGGCAATTGGATTTTCTTGTTTTTTTCTTTTGAAGACATTTCGCTTCTCATCCAAGAAGCTTCTTCAGCTCTGACAGGATAGTGGGGGAATGGAAGGGTTTATACTCCTTGCAGGCCGCTGGTCATTTGCATCCTTATAAAGGGTTGTTGAAGCACAAGAAAGCTCCGTGTGTTAGTTTATGTCCACCAAATCACACCAATTGCTAAGTGGATTTTCTTCCCATCCAGTGTTCACTCTGTGCCCCAATGCCTGGACTGCACCCGGTTTAACACCTGTCGTGAATGTTTGCAAAACTTTGAATGCGGCTGGTGTGGCAACTCCGACAACCCTACCTTGGGCAGGTGAGTCCACTCTTTAGACTATTTAAAAAAAGAAAAAAATTCTCCCTTCACCTTGCAACCATTAACAGAGGTACACAATCAAGATCACGGGAAGTATTGATATTACTTTATAATGCCTTGGTAAGAACTACACTGGGAATCCTGCATCCAATTTTGGTCGCCATGATGTAGAAAAAGATGTTTGAGACTCTAGAAAGAGCGCAGAGAAGAGCCACGAAGAGGATTAGGGGACTGGAGACCAAATAAATGAAGAAGGGTTGCAGGAATTGGGCATGTCTAACTTAATAAAAAGAAGAAGCAGGGCTGATATGACAGCAGTCTTCCAATATTTGGCATTTCTCACTTAGCAACATAAATTTTGGGCTCAACTGTGGTCGTAAGTTGAGGATTACCTAAACTCATCACCATTGTATGATGAGGAGTGGTGCGGTGGCCTAGAGGTGTAACTCTCACCTCACCATCAGGAGGCTGTGAGTTCGCTCCTAGGTCGAGGCAGATAAATTTCTCTTTCTGGGCACAATGAGACTATCTCTGTTGAAACAAAACTCCGCACTGGCAACGGGTAAGGCAGCTGGCCATTAAACACTGCTAGCTGCATTCAGTTGCCCAGACTCCACCCCGCAAGGGATTTATGGGTTTGTTAAAAGAGGATGATGATCCCCATCGTACAAAGAGTCGTTCGGTGGCAGAAGACTAACCAGGGGTGGGGTGGGGGAAATAGCGATCATTTTGGGATTGTTGCAAATTCACGGCTTGTAACTTTGGCTTCCTCGCCAGGTGCCTCCCGGGAGATTTCTCCGGCCTCAGCACTTTCTGGAACTGCTCGGTGGCCCTGTGGGAATCCCACAGACTGCCTCCCTCCCACCCGGCTCAGTGGTCGTACGGGCAGTGTCCCGACGTGGACGAATGCCGCCTGGGCTTGGCCAACTGCCACCCCTTTGCCCGGTGCAAGAACACCCCGGATTCCTTCCAGTGTCACTGCAACCGAGGTTACGCAGGCGACGGGTTGGCCTTTTGCAACCAAACGTGAGTTTCTTTGTCTGGCTTTAGAATGTTTGACGTGGGGAGGAACGTTCTGAACTTGGCTGGCAGAAGAAGCAGAGACGGTCGCTAAGCAGGACGACGCCAGAAGGCGCAAACACACACACACACACACACCACTGCTCTGAGGATTTCTCCCGTTTTGGAGAGGCTCTGTCTGTGTGGGCGTTGCCTTCTGTTTCCTGCTATCGATGAAAGGAAGGTCTGGGCAGACGTAGCGCTAACGGTTCCTTCCGGACACCTGGACAGTTGCCCGATTGCATTTTTTTCTGGTTATGATTTTGTGCAAGAACTCTTAAAAACAGTTGATGATTTTGTGACATTTGTTTGGTACTGATTCTTAGGGACCACATATAGCTAGATTTTCTTCAGGTCGAAAGGGGCTTAAACTGGTTATTTACTTTTTTCCTGAAAAAGAGGTCCTTTTTTCCTTCCTTCCTTCTTTTCTTCTTTCCTTCCTTCCATCGTTCTTTTCCCTTTCTCTTGTTTCCTCCCTCCATCCCTTATTTTTCTTCCTTCCACTCTTCTCCTCTCCTCTCCTCTTTTTCCTTTCTCTCCTTCCTTCCTCTTCCCTTCCCTTCCTCCCCCTCCCTTCTTTTTACTTCCTTCCTTTGGTTTTTTTCCCTTTCCCTTCCTTTCTTCCTTCCTCCCCCCCTCCCTCCCTCCTTCCTTTTTTCTTTCTTCTTCTCCTCTCTTTTTCCTTTCTCTCCTTCCTTCCCTTCCCTTCTCTTCCTCCCTCCCTCCCTTCTTTTTTTACTTCCTTCCTCTCCTCTCCTCTTTTTCCTTTCTCTCCTTCTTTCCTCTTCTTTCTTTCTCTCCTTCCTTCCTTCCTTCCTTCCTCTTCCCTTCCCTTCCCTCCCTCCTTCCCTTTTTACCTCCTTCCTTCCTTCGTTTTTTCCCTTTTCCTTCCTCCTTTCGTTCCTCCCCCTCCTTTTTTCTTGCTTCTTTTCCTTTCCTCTTTTTCCTTTCTCTCCTTCCTTCCTTCCTTCCTTCCTTCCTTCCTTCCTTCCTTCCTTCCTTCCTTCCTTCCTTCCTTCCTTCCTTCCTTCCTTCCTTCCTTCCTTTCCCCTTCCCCTCCTTCCCTCCCTGATACTTTCCAAGTTTTCCAGAGGATTCACGTTTACCGTGTTATCCAGAGAAACTTTAAAGCTCTCATGTAGCCAGGTGTAATCTGTTTAATCTTCAGTTTTACAAGGCAGTCCTTCACTGAGGTGACTGGCCAGACTGGTTCTAATCAGGATCTCTGCATGTTAAGACAATGCTTATTACAGCATTTAGTTTATAAGGACATGAATGACTGTTTTGTGGAGGTGGGGTGGAGAAAATGACAAAAATTACCTTTTCCATCTAAAATTTTTTTCATCAGTTTGCTTGTGATTTTTTGTTTTTGTTTAACAGTGCTCTTATATATTAAACTTTTGATAGCAAGCCATTTTATTTAAAGATCGATTTTCCCGTTTGCCTTTTTAATCCTTGGAACAAAGGAGAAGATTGTAGCTCGGGGCTGAAATGAGAGATCCTTGGTACTCTCTGAGCTTGGTTATTTTCTTGCAGACGTTTCATGACCCATACAGGTAACACCATCAGGATAAAAGCAGCAACGATCGAGAACCCTCAATCCTGAAAAATTTAAACAATCTTTCTCTGTTTGGTTAGCAGTTCTGGTTTTCAGTGGTTGCACACCTAAGTTGAGTAAATTGGACCAAGTAGAACAGAGTTTCTCAACCGTGGCACCTTTGCGATGGATGGACTTCAA